TTTTGGTGCTTTTTGGATTTGGTTGTTTTTTGGTTGGGTTTTTTTGTGTTAAATTAAATTATAGAGGGAGGAAGCGCTACTTGTATTTCCTCGGCATTTTGTTGCTGTTGTTGCTAAAAATGATCGAAACAAAATTAAATCGTTAAGAGAGGATGAGGACTCCCGTGGCCAAGAGGTGTCGGTGTTCGCCTCTACTTCAAACGTCCCGGGGTTCGGATCCGGTTGACAACGGAAACAATTTCTTCTCTAAAATTGTCCCTTTCACCTCCTTTCCAGCTGTCTAGCAATGTATTGTCGTCTGCTTTCGTCTCCACTTTCAGACAAGGGCGAAAAATCTCGGAGATCCCGTGTGCAATTTGCACACGTTAAAGATCCTTTGGTGGTCTAAAATCGGTAAGAGTGGCTTCAGCCACCACCGGGGGAAAATTCAAAATTTCCTACCTACTGAAAATGTTTAATGTGTCCCGTGCGCTCATATTACGACCTTATGCAGACAGATGCGAACGCCGCAAAATACTTACCCAAAAAAAAGTTGCCGTTGTGTCTTCCCTCCCAATTAGTGTAGGTGACAGATTTAAACACACAGCATGTTTCTGACGTATTTGCTCTCACATTATCGTTTTTCTGACGCCCCATAGGACGAGATAAACACACAATTGTGCTCATATTACCCCCAATGATGATTCTCTTCTTGTGCTAAGGGTAAACACGGACAAAGCTAGTGTCACGTCTGGGAAATACTGAGTGTATTTGGTAAAAATGGTTTTGTTTTGTTTGGGTTTATAGTAAAATGGGGGAATCCCGCACCATACTTTCCAATTGGATTGTGAGACAGGACGTGTTACAGAAGCTACTTTTTGTAGAAAGAGGACACATCCTCCACAACAGTTTTACTTTGGGTCTGATAAGTTAGGAAACAAAACGTATACGAATTCTACGATTTCACCATCCCCATACTTCCATTTTTCAACATAATTAAACATCTAACACTGTGGGGCAATTCCACACCCACATGAGCAGACATGCCAAAATGGAAAAAAAAGACAGACATACAAGAAATTAAAGCTGAAATGAAAAATAAAACATGGCAGACAGAAGCAATTGATTAAAGCTGAATGTCAAACAAATTTCTGTTGGTTCTAAGGGCTGTAAGTGGGGGTGTGGAGTTACCCCACCTTCCCATATTTCGTCTGCTGTTTGTGATGTTGAGGACACTGTAAAACTTCACCATGCTCATAATTGTGCTCATATTATGCTCCCGCTTGAAACAGATCTTGTATAAATATTCTGTTGGTGGTTGGTGGGTGCTCTAGTGTTGTTTGCTCATTCTCTCCTATCAAACATCTATCGTCCTGATCAGCTCCCCTCCTTCTTTTTTCTGTTTTTTTACTGTTTGTGACACGTCTAATCATCGGTGTTTATATGATCTAATCGTGTTGCAACATCCGTCAAACTCTTACTTTATAATAACTAACACACCCACACACACACACACCCACCCACCCACCAACACACACACACACACACACACACACACACACACATACACACACACACACACACACACACATGCACACACAAATACAATGTATAATAATACAGGCTACTAAAATGCACGCATGTGCATACACATAAATAAACACACACACCCGAACATACAAACAATCCCGTGAAAGATACCAG